AACTTTGCCTTGGGAGCCGAAGGGTCTTCATTTAGAAGAATTATGATGCCTCATGGTGAAACCAAGATTCTTTGGAAGTCACGATGCCGATATCTCCTCTAACAACCATGACAAAAATAATTATAGGTATATGGAATGTCTGAACAATGTGGTAGAGCGGGAGGACCAGTCGAATAGCAACCTAAATAAGGATATACAACTTAAAGGTTCTCGGAATCAGAGGAACCTATTGGACTCGAGCTGGACAGCAGAGATTACTTACGAGAGAGATGCTTCTGTACTCCGGTCACGAAGAGGAAAATCCTCTTCACACTCAGGAAGTTGCTTTGATGCTGTCCAAAGAAGTACAAAATGCACCTATAGAATGGAAATCTCATAAACCCAGGATCATCAGAGCATTTTTCAAAACAAAGGTGATCCTAATGATTATTATCCAGTACTATGCACCCACCAATGATAGCAATGAAGACGATAAAGATCAGTTTTACGAGAGGCTGTAATTAATCCTAGCGAAGTGCCCAAGAAAGGATCTGACCATTGTGATGGGAGATCTAAACGCCAAAGTCGGAAGAGACAACACCGGATATGAAGATATTATGGGACAACATGGACTGGGAGAGAGAAACAAGAATAGGGTAAGATTTTCAAACCTATGTGCATTCAACAAATTGGTTATAGGCATTACAATATTTCTACACAAACGCATACACAAAGCTATATGGGTCTCACCGGATTACACCATGGAAAACCAGATAGATTATTTTTGACTCAGTAGAAAATTCAGGTCCATGGGAGACGTGAGAACCAGGCGAGGAGCTGACAGAGATTAAGATCACCACCTGGTTGTGGTCAAGTTGAAACTGAAGCTAAGGAAGCACTGGACAAATAGCATTACAAAGGTTCAATACAGTCTTCCTACGAGATACTAACAAGCTTAACGAATTTAAGATAACTCTGAATATCAGGTTCCAAGCCTTACAGGATCTGTTCAAAGACGAAGAAATTACTACGCAGAATAACCGGAAAGGGATGAAAGGAACATTAACTTCAATGTACCAGCACGTGTTGGGACTCATGAAGTATCATAATAAGGAATGGATGTCTTCCATTCAGTGAAGTAAGGTCGGGCTGTCCAATCTCACAGCTCCTCCTCAACGTTTCCATTGCTCATGTACTATAAACATGTCTGATAGACAAGGGTAGTGATGTTCTGATTTACAGCGTGTCAACGAAAGCGGTTTCGACCTATACTTGGAAACCTAGGCTCTCTGAGTGAAGGAAGGTAAGAGAATCTTTGTGTTCGATCATTGTTATCTCTCGAGGATTGCTGACATTCGTATAAAAGAAGGAAACTTGAATAATTGGCGGATTCTATTCTGGTTGTGTTTTTCTTTACTAAACTAATACTCTCACTATTTAATACTCCTACTAACTTATTTTTATTAATTACTGTATTTTTCACTTTTTGTATTCATCCTTTTTCTATATCTTCATAATTTCATTTTTATTCTGTGGTACATATATATTTTGATGTCTGTTTTTTGTTTTGCCAATTTTCGCGTTTAAATGAATAAGGAGTTCTAGTGAGAAGCAGTGACCATTGGAGGTCAACCGGGTCAGTTGTGAGATAGTAACTCACTGATGACAATGGTGGATGTATCGCACAAAATTTTTTGGATTAGTTGAAGTTAGACATTAACACCGTTAGATGCCTGCTCATTGGTCTAGAGATTAAGCGCTCGCACGCGAAACTGATAGGTCCTGGGTTCGAACCCCGCTAGACGAGGTCGTGGATGCGCACTGCTGAGGAGTCCCACAAGAGCACGAAACGGCCTTTCAGTGATTTCGGGTTTTTCATGGTGGTCTGGCTTCAATTGACTCATGCTTTCAACTGTTGAAATAAGAAAATCATTGCTTTATTCCCATCACTTTGTAACATATCGTTAGTTACGTGCTAGCATGTTAAGTGTTCAATTTTCTTGATATAGATAACAAGTGAATGATACTTTCTGTCGTACAAATACATAATTCTTTTATGGTTGTTTTGTCATCCGCCCTAATTTTTAGTTGACTCACTAAATTTACCTAACAAATTAAACGATAACATAATATCGCTTAACCAAAACTGATAACCGTGAGAGCGTTTGTGTGAGACATAACTAGAAAATGAATATCGTATATGTGGTGTTTGTATAAAACGATAATATTGGTGACATTAGTATAGTACGTTTACATTCGTCTAAAACTTTCTTTTCTGTTCAATCGTTCGCTTATTCGAAGACAATAAAGTGTGTTTTAGACAAATTCAGTAGTTCCTATTATTGTACATAATCACATTCAATACAACTATTTATTTTAATATATCACTCAATGATTTTGAAATCTATAAAGAATTTTTGAATGAAAAACTCACATTAAACTGATTTATATTCATTAAAGTAGATTAAGTAATCAAACAAGAAATAAATCTTGGAGATTGCTGAATTACCATAGCAGTGATCTATATAATAACTTATTCATTTTGACTCTATGTCGTGGGTTTAAGTCATTTATTAATACATAATTCAACAAAGCACAATAAAATCGCATTATTTTGCTTAATAATTATGTTAATTGACTTTCATGCTCTATTAAAAAATATAGGTTAATAAACTATTAGTATATCTGATGGCTATCGGTAGCAAATTATTTGGGACATACTTAGAAGTATGTTCATGTGTTTACTTCGCTTTGCTTTAAAACTATGTATATTCAATGTAGTCGATTACATTAAGAGCTGCCAACGCCAAATTTCATCGTTAAGGACGTTACTTATAGATTTTGTTGTTGATTTAAATGTTGTTTATTTACTCAATATAACAAATTATACTTGTTATATATAACAGTAGCATACCATTTAGATCATATTTCAGGCTTAGAAAACTTGTGTATCATAAATATATTAAGCAGTTTATAATAAAACTGTCTAGATTAATTTTAATTGACAGATTTCAGTCATATATAAAGTAGTAATATAATCACTAACTAACAATTTCTATGCTTATTAATATGACCATTGTGTCAGTTGGTTGATACTAAATTGAATAATAATTTTATGTATCTTTTTTTATAATCATGCTGCTTATTGAATTAACTAAGTATATATATATATATATATATATATATATATATATATATATATAGTATTTTAATAAATGTATACTTTGTTGTATTTAAATATGTTTGATGAATCTCATTTGGTTCACTTAAACAATCAATTATCATTTGTTATTCTTTACATTATCGGATTATGAATTAAAAATAGTTAAAAATAATTCGATTCATTATACCCCTTTTTTTCTAAAAAAGAAATAATTTCTTTGTGTCGTAAATTTGATGAATAGTAAATTCTGTGTTAGGTTTAACTATAATATAGAACTGAACAGTTAGTGATAATAAAATGATCAAATATGTGTTTAATGACTAAAACGTGTTTGTATAAATCGATTCATGAATTCAATTGTTAGCTTATTATCAATTTTGTAGTAGTAATTTGTCAAAATACTCAACTTTTTGAGCGTTCTTACTTTGTCAACTTGCGTATAACTAATAAAGTGATTGATTCAAGAGTTCTTTTGGGAACAAATTAAACTAAGATCTTTATAGAATGAATTTTGCATTTGGTACTTTTAACATTTAATTCTTACGCTATGATAATTAAATGAATCAATAAATTCCCATTATAAATATTCTGAGCATCATATAAATATATTTTTCAATAGTTGAGATCATAAGTCAATTGAAGCTAGACCACCATGGAGAACCTGTAAACACAGAACGGCCGCTTCGTCCTAGTATAGGACTCTTCAGTAGTGAGCATTCACGATCTCGCATACAGGACTCGAACCCAGGATCCTCGGCTTCTCGCACAAACGATAACATGTAGACCACTGAGCCGGCATCTAATTGTGTTAATGTCCAACTCCAACCAATCCACGATATTGCGAGACCATCCATCATTGTGTTCAATGAGTAACTGCCTCACAACAGACACAGTTCAACTCTACTGATCACAACTTCTCACTAGAACTAGTAAACACCTCTTGAAATCAAACACTATGGGCAAATGATGCTGATTATCAGAATAGGAATTTGTGGATATTGTAATAATTTAATAGTTAAATTAATGAGTCGATTTATAAAAGCATTTTTGAGTCATTAAACACATACCTGATCATTTTATTATCACTATCCACCACCAAGATTTTGAGATCTAATATCTCTCACAAACTACTACAATCGCTTCATTTCATTTTACCTACCATATAGGATACAACGATGATAGGAAACAAATATAACAAAAATAACAGCTGAAAAATTAAATTGTACCAATTATAGGTAACATTTCATCAACAAAAACAAATACTCTCTTCACTTTTTCATACGTGAAAATATACTAACAGTGAAGTAACGCGGTATCACTGATGTCAATACGTGTGGAAAACCATGGACATGTTAAAGCGTTGAAATGTTGAATTTATGGAATTCCAGAGAGTTACTGTAAGGATGTAATCCAAATCAATCGGTCATCAATAAACAGATTGATTTCGTTTGTTTATCAACTTATATGATAAAGATGAGTTTTGACCACGTAGTATGAGGTCAACTAGACAACACAGTCATTAGTAATAGAAGTAAGAGAATCGACAATGACAACCGATCACAAATGTTTGCAGAATAATTAAAAAAAGTTACTTCTACATGGATGAGGCGCTGATAATGTTGTTCAAAGAGATAATAATAGTTCCACCATCTAGCTCATAGAAATCAATATCATCAAAACATCCTAATGCCTATTATTTAGATCTATAAAAATGTAACACCTTTGATTAGCAGATGAATGTACGAAAAATCGCCTAATCTTCAATATGTTTGTAATATATTTCTGTCCATAATAAACAATCATTTGTCTACTTCTTCTTTTATTTATCTACTATTAAAATATAATAAATACCAATTATTTAAATAATATCACTTTTCAAATTTATTAATTCATAAATCAATAGAAACAAACTATTAGAATAAATGTTTATATGTTGTCAACTTTATTTCATTTTAATTTTATCTCTTCTTAACCAAATCTTAATGCAGTAGGTACTCTTGGATGCATGAATTTTTGTAAACCACCAGTTCTCATTTCATTGATTAATTTATTCCATAGATATTTTTCAGCTGTTATTGTTAAATATCGTTTCATTGTTAATGGATATTGCTTTTTAATGTATTCATTATCATTATGATTAAAACCATCTAAAATTTAAATGATAAAATGTATTCTTTTATTAAATAGTATACTACTTGCTCTTTAATGATATACATAGATTTATGTACAGATTGAAATAATTTACACCATTCTCATTATTCCAATAATGTTCAATCATATTTTCATTTAACTGTCAGTAGTGTTATTCATAATTGAAATTTTCATACCAACTATGTTTCATGTACATTATAAGTATTTATCTTAGAATTTTATGTTGGATTGGAAATTATTGTACACTGCATATATATATATATATATATATATATATATATATATATAATGTATTTTAGTACATTGCATGGATATTACGCATAAAATTTTGACATTGAAGGTCATTTTACTGAGCAGTCAGTAGGACCAGGCACATATATGCATCAGTCCAAGTTGCTATACCGCATTAGCACAGCGATGGTGTAATATATAAAGGAAAGATTGCATATAAGGATGTAGTACGATAAGAAAGATTTAGTATGTAGAAAGAAAGATATGAAGCGATTCTAATCTCTTAGTTTAAGGGAAGTCAGAGAGTGTAATGCTAAAAAGTATCTATTTTCTCCGTTCAAAGACCATGTTTTACGTCCATATAATAATACAGAATGGATTGCTGAATAGTATGCTCTCCCTCTGGTCGGCAGATGGGTAATGCAAGTCAGTCAGTCGGCTGAAACATAGGACCAGGCACATATATGCATCGGTCCAAGTTTCCATACCGCATTAGCACAACAAGATGAACACCGATTCATAGGAGTAGTTAATTCAGTGGTGATAATATATAGAAGAAAGATTGCATATAATGAGATAGTACAGGAAGAAAGAATTAGTTCCTAGACAGATATGAAGCGATTTTAATCTCTTAGTTTAAAGGAAGACAGAGAGTGTATACACCGACGCCATTGTGATCGATTCTGAGCCATGTCACCATTGGTTACGATAGTCACGCAGACTTCAACCAAGTAGTCTGCATCTACCAACATGGCCCAGACTAGAAGTTAGTGACTTCAAGCAGTGATGCCACGTTTTGGTCTGGCCGCCACTAACCTTCTTCCAACCATCCCCAACACCGGTTAGTATCGTTCAGGCAAACACAACATGTGACCCAACCATCTCAATCGACGAAGACTCACAACCTCATTAACTAATTTACCATCATTCCCTAATACCCTGTGTCTAACTCCACTATTACTTACCTGGTGATCCCAGCAGATGCGAGCAATTGTTTTACTGAGCAACTGTTGTAATTATAATTCACTGTTTTATAAATCTCATTACGTAACCATAAAATGTTTTTTTTACAGGTTATTCACTCTGAGAATGAAACATTTTGTAAAGGCTTCATTATTTATTGTAATAAATTGTAAACAGATTATCTTTGGTTGATAAAGATCAAGTATAATATAATTGTGTGATATTGATTAAATCATTGAAGAGATTACGATCAATACAAGTAAAACCACCTACTTACATTTATTACTTACACTTCATATTATTTATTTTCGTTTATTCTATATAGTACAATAGTGTTTAATTCACTATGAACTGAGTGATTTAATTGTCAATCGTTGATAGGTGAAATATACAAATTAGAAAATCAAATCTTTATTAAAACTTTTTATAATGAATATTATTTGATTGCTGAAAAATAAGTCTTTATTTAGTATTACTTTTCTACTGATGGAGTTAATCTCAATCATATATTCTGCTACTTGAAAGATAATACATTTGAGTATGGTCGTTAGCAGGACAGATTGGATTAAAGCATGCTCAATGCACGATTACTTTGGCTCGCGCTGATTGGTTAAGAATTAGCCAATCAGAGTTAGCCAATACTTAAAGAACACTCTTGAATCTTCTAATGTAAAAACTATAAATATACTAACGTTTTTTTCCTATTGTGCTTCTTACTTTCATCTAACCTTGTTATTTAGAATATAATCTTTTCCCTGTTCAACTGTGTTCTGATTTGAGGGCTTTTCGAGTGAATTAGTGTCCAAGACTACTAAGCAATAGGAATAGCTGGATTGTAATAAGAGAGAATTATAACAATAGTCTATTTTAAATAACTAGTTACTCGATTGGTGAATTAGTTTTATTATTTATAATCATACAAATACTTATAATCATTCTAAATAACCTTTAAGATTATTAACCTATTTTCTGGTATTTAAACGTTTCCTATTGAATAGAATAATATTAATATGAATATTGGTGTTATAATGAAAAACAATCAAAATTTTTTGTCATTTTTTCAAAAAAAAGACAAAAAAACATAAACATTTCTTTTAACTAATCGATATGTATATATGTATAATGTTTTACGTAAAACAGATTCATTTTAACGACCATAGACACATCGAAATTCAATAGATCAGTTAATAATCTACCATTTAAATCTAATTCTTCCCAAGCATTTTATACACAAAAAACAGAACTTGTTTGTATATCTAAATGTGATATACAAAAGAAATAAGATTTCCTAGATTTAAGTTATAAATTCAATATATAATAAATATAGATATTAGTTTGGTTAGTGAAGATTTAATAGAATTCTCATGATAGTATTTGTGCATATATTCATATATATATATATTCATATATATATATATATATATATATATATATATATATATATATATATATATATTTCGACTACTTGATTAGGTACTATATATGTACTTGTGAGCGTTTATGTATTTGAGTGCGTACAAACGTGTGTATGGATAGAATTGAATAGGCATGAATTTAGGTACATGTTGTGGTAAGTGTTAGCTGGAGAAAAGTAAAAAAAAGGTGTACTGTCTAATCGATAACATTTTCCTCCCTCCCTCTCTCTCTCACATCTTAATGAAATGGACAAATCATTTCAGGATATGGATGGGTCGAACGATTAGTACATTTGAATTATAGTGAAATAACTTGAAATTTATTTTATTCCCCTTTAAATAAAAATAGAAATTATATTAATGTAACTGTTTGAAATTCAAATATTCATGTAAAATCGAAAGAGGAACTTTTGAAAAGATAGATAACCACAAGGGAAAGGATTAAATGAAGATAGTCAAAGACACATTCTGTTACATTTAAGAGTAAAGTAAACATATTCGCATATCGTTATCTCTAAACAATCAATTATAGTGTACATTAGATTTTTATACTGAACTTTTAACAAAATCACAACATAGAAGTTTGTTTAAGCATAAAGTAACCAATATAAATCATTGTACATTTAATGAATAAATATGTAGCGTTTAAAGTACTGATTTTTTGATGGTATATTTTAATAAATCCTAAATTACAACATCAAAATCTGACTAATATCTATTATTGAATATGATTAATGTTATCATTCAAGGCAAATAAGGTAGAATAAAACTAAATTGACTGCTTTATAATGACTGTATCTAGATTTGAAACTTGTCAAAAATATAGACCAAGACGAAATAGATAACTAGTACTTTGGAGTAATCATATTTTTTTCCAGCTTATTCAGTTCATAAAGAAAAAATATGCTCAAAATGAATAAATCTACTTGAACTACACAAGTCAAACATGCTTTTGTGTTAAGGGGTCAAATTTAGCAAATCAAAAATTTAGACCATTGAAGAAAACCTTAGATAGTGGAGAAGATTTGTAGCTCAGGTGGATGATTTTTATTAGAAAACCTTCTTTATATAAAAATATGAGTCAATGTTATATGTAGTATTACTGTAAAGTAGTATAAATAACCGATAGATTCCATAACCTGTTATTATTATCGTCAGTATTACATATAATCAGTTGTGTTTTGTTCTTCTTATATATCCTTTTGATAAACTGTTAGGTTATAATATTTTTAAGACACCGGGAATCCTTTAACACTATTCTTTTATAATCCTGTATACATATTTCATACTTCAAAAAATAATTAAGATGTGGTTCATTGAGTTATTCCATAGAGCGTTATTATCACTTACCTTGAAGTTAATTAATTCAAATCATGATGTGATGATAGTTTTTTTCTTTTACAGTTTATTGGTTATCCATCTTCTACATACGAAATCATTAGTTTCATGTCCAAATTTTCTTATCAAATCCATTGAATGATCAGTCTGGGAATAATTTAATCAATTTCATTTGACTCATTAATTTATTTAACTGTTTTCTTTTCACCTGATTATTTAATCGATAAAAAGTAACCCATATTTATTATTGTCATAATCAGAGAAGGGATTTTGTGGAGATTTCAGTAATTTTAATAGTTGAAATCATGAATCAATTGAAGTTAGACAACCATAGAAAACCTGGAAGCACTGGACGGCCGTTTCGTCCTAGTATGGTACTCTTCAGCAGTGCGCATCCGCGACCCTGTTCCTGCGAGATTCGAACCCAGGACCTATCAGTCTCACGCTCGAGGGCTTAACAACGGTGGATGTATCGCTCAATTTCGTGGATTAGTTGAAGTTAGACATTAACACATTTGGTGCCGGCTCAGTGGTCTAGTGGTTAAGCGCTTGCCTACGAGACTGGTAGACCCTGGGTTTGAATCTCGTAGGGGGCGAGGTCGTAGATGCGCATCGCTGAGAAGTCCCATAATAAGACGAAACGGCCGTCCAATGCTTCCAGGTTTTCCATGGTGGTCTAGCTTCAACTGACTCATGATCTCAACCATCGAAATTATTATCATTATTGTTATTGAACGGATTTTATTAAGCTTGTCTTATATGTTAGTTCTTATGAAAATGTACCTTCATTTAATTACTGCGAATTATAACTTTTTATTTACTATAAAACATAAGTTATATTTGTCAGTAGTATAACAATGTTGATCGTAAATGCCTAATATATATTGCTTTGAAAAATGAAAGATTTTTTTGCATTCAAAGATGTTTTTCAAGGAAATATGATCGTTTGCTGTATGTTTCATATTTAGCTTTTATTACTATCTAAAGTTTACATAAGACTATCATTTCATTTAATGATTACATTCTTCTAGACACTAAAAACTGACTTT